TGGATGGATTTCCTTTTACTCTTTGTTATTGGACTAAACTGGGGAAGCCACAGATGTAATAGTGACTCAAAGATCCAGAACCAGACTAAGCTTTGCCTTTCTGGTTACTAATAAGCTTTAAAATGAGACAATCTTTACAGAAAAAAAAACGCTGAAATACACACAACTTGTATCCACACTGTGATCATAAGCCAGCTCTTTGTCCTTGTTGGTTCCTGGTGCTACAGCAGAGATGTTATCACGACCGCTATAGAGCAGTGTGATCAGTCAACAAAGTCGGCTCCACAGACTAAACAAAGCAGCGCTGTCACACCGTCTGTACTGTTGTAAGGCAACACACACAATGTCAGACGTTAACAGGTACAACACTGGGTACAACAGGAGCCATTGTGTTTATGTAAAGGTTTGTGTGACGTTATTCTGCTGCCTGTTGACTGTGCTTTGATCCCGTTGTTAAGTATTCAGTGCAGAGTGGCTTTAACATGTTTCACAGCCACCAGGAACCAAGGTGAGTGGTGTGGTGTGAACCCAGTGTGTACACAAGGCAACGACGACCTGAGGCAGGCTCAGCCCGAATAGCAAACAATGAGCAACATGAGCCAGGTGGACGTGCTGCAGAACGCTCTCTCACCTGGTGAAACACTGGCTCTTTCCACTGTAAGTACACCTACAGAGCATGAACACAATAACAGCAGTCAGGGGGTGTGAGGGATGTTAGACTCCATTTACAACATAGTTCAGAATAAACGGTGGTTGTCAGAGTGAATGGGGATACTCACCACAGTGACCAAAATGCTGAACATTAATAATAATGTAATAGGAAAGAAACTGATGCTGTTCTCTTGCTTGAAGCATTCATATCTGAATAAAGGACAGAGAGGCAACAACAAGTGAAGCCTAAGCTGAAGACACACGAGTCGGGTTTAGAATCAATAGCTGCATCCTCTCAAAGGTGGCATGCTGTGTTTCCTGGGATGGATCAGGTTACCAGCAAGAAATTCATGCTTCATTTTACATCCACAGTCACATTCAAGTTGATCTAAGTGACCTTCTGTCTTAAGTGCTTCAACAAGAATAAATAGAAAACGCTGAGCTACTTACAGACAATAGACAAAGACGCAAGTGCTGTAGATCATGGGCAGCTCGTCCAGTAACTGCACACAGCAACACAGAGAAAACACACTGCTGTGGGACTGCATGGCTTCAGCATATCTGACTCTGTATTAAGCAGCTGCTGCTTGTCCTAATGTGTCCAACAATGGGTTTAATTCATGCAAACGTTCTGCTGACATGTTCACATTTCTGTAGCCCACCTGCATCTCGTACAGCAGCGTCATGTGGAAGCACCAGGAACCAACACCGACAGCTGCGTGACAAAGTCAAGACATTCTCAAATATACGCTGTACGGCTGCTCATGCAGTACAGTGCAGTTGTTTTAGTCCCTACAGCAGAGCCACCACACTAACCTGCCAGTCCGAGGAAGGAGAAGATGTAGCGAGACTCAAGGCCGTCGCGAAACGTCTGGATGGCCCCGAAAATGGGAGGAAGAATCATAATCAGGTTGCTGACGGTGTTCCCTGTTTAAATAAACAGCAGAGATGAATGAAAGCCTGATCAGAGCTCCTGTAAGACGCTACCTGGCTCTGGAACCAGAGAACAGGACTGCATGACAGTTCAGGGAAGCAGTCTGGGTCACATGTGATCATATAGCAACAACTTTAATCGGATCTCATCACCAGGGCGGCAATAATAGAGCAAAGGGTAGTTATGCCTTATTTCAGCTACGTAATCCTTAGTGTAGATTTTTTTCATTATTATTGTTTTTTATTTAACCAGGAAAAGGTTCATTGAGATTAAAAATCTCTTTTTCAAGAGTGTCCTGGCCCAGACAGGCAGCAGATAGACGAAGTCAGCATCCACACAGACATCATAACACACGGAAATATGACATTTAGGAAATCAGCAGAGATCAGAAACTAGCAAAATAATCATGTGTCCAGACACCTACAGACTGATGTTTCTGCCTCCAAGTCAATACAGGGATGCTGAGACGAACGACACCACTACTGCTTTTGCTTCCCACCTTGCTAGCACTCCCATGTGTATGCCAAAAGACACATCATGATCAAGATCAGCAGGAATGGTTGAGTATGTCCACCTTAAAACTTCTGTGTACCAACGAAATGTGCAAAAACATGGACACAGACTTCCAGGGTTTCACAGATAACAAGCCAAAGGAACAAATCCTGTCAACCTGCAGGTGGGACTTCCTTTCATGCAGAATACACACTTCCTCTCTGGAGGTGAACAAGCACGGCTGAACTACTCCAATAACACAACTCGCCGTAGTGAAGCGTAGAGCACTTTACGGTGTTTGAGCAGTGCTGTAGGTGAGCTGGTGTGCTGGGCTGCCATGAGCAGGGAGCGGTGAGTGGAGAGAGTGATGGGGATTTTATAGATGGAGCATTTTAGATGAAGTAGATTTACATGTGGGTCACGAAGGCTGTCGCTATGTTAAGGCTGTTTTTATGGGTTTAGGATTGTTACGGGTCGATTATCCAGTCACCACTGTGTCATTTTTTAATTAATTTATTATGTTTTTCAACTAAACTCTGACAGAAGTCCAGTGAGGCTCCAGTGAACAGTGGGCTGGTAATCGGGTGTGGATGCGATCGTTTGATTGATTACTATCTGCTACCTTGTCTCATAAAACACTGTTGAGCCTCACGTCCAAAGCGGCCTTTGGCTTTAGTGTTGGCGGGCCGACGCTCCCTCCCTCAGCAGCCCCACAGGGAACCTGCCAACACAGAGCTCTGATGTCACCTTTGCTCTTTCTGGGTGTGGCGGTGTACAAAGGCAGGTGTGAAAGGCAATCAGGCTTTCCAGGATGTTCAGTACTCTGAAAACCAATATGGCCTACCAGCATTGTCAGGACCAACATGATGCTTTCCCTTTATCTGATAAAAACCAGGCAGAGATTATAAAATGTGTGGACTTTGGCTGCTGATAATAAATGCACACACGCAGACAGCACTACAGCGAGCGGGTGTTTTGTTTTGACATTTCAGTGACACCTGCCAAGCCGTGAATGCGATGCCCTCTGTGTGACAGTCTCTCTGTCCGCCCTCTGTCACCTACAACTGTGACCACGTGGCTGTTTTCTAAAGAGACATTCACAAAAGCACACATCAGATGAGGATTACAGCCACGGCGGTGTCACTGGGCTGCACGAACAAAGCCTCATTCCAACCATTGTGACCTGAATAACAGTTTAAACGCTGCACAAGCGTTCTGGAAGCGACGACCAGCGCATGTCAAACTAAAGCTTCAAGTGTCAGAACAGGACCAGAGTTTGGAAATGTCTGGATTAAATGAACGAACTCTTTGGCCCACAACAGAACTTCCAAACCAATAACATGAATCGTATGTGGCTGCGGTGGCAGGAGACCAAGCAGCTGAACTCTGACCCACTTGGCGTCACTGTGGACTAGCTGTTGCATCACTCTGTACTCTGAACACACCAGCACCAGCACCAGCACCGTGGACTGAAGGACCACCAGAAAGCCTGTCCTCTGTCTGACCATGAATCCTCCATGAACGTGCAGCATGTGTGGCTGCAGAACAGACATGGTTCTGACTCGGACTGCATTTACGAACCCACACAGTGCTCTGCAGGCTGGAGGATAATGAGTGACTGTCAGAGGCTCCATGCTGCGAGCAGGAGGTGAAGCCGCTCTGACACAAACCAACGTGAGATAAAGATTCCTGAAGAACCCGTTTTTATCGCTGGACGGAGCAACGCGGCGCCCTGATGCATGAACGAGACGTTTCCATCAAGTCTGAAGCCTGAGAAGGACCGGACTGTGCTGCCTGTGTCTGGTCCGGTTAGCCAGCCCGGCTGCACGGTCCGGAACAGCTGAATGCAAAGCAGCCCGACACCGACCAGGCGGACCGGATCCTATCTGTCTCCTCGCTACCTGCCGCCGCGCGGGCTAACAGCACACAGCACGGAGCTGGAGGCGCTAGCTGTCCGCCCGCTACGGTGCTGGTACCGCCGCTGCTTCTGGTTAGTCAGGGGGCGACGGTACCAGCCGCCAGAGACGATTTACTCACAAAACTCGGCGACGTAGAAAGACACGACGTAGTTCTCCTCGCACCAGTCCAGCGTGGAGGTCGGCCGGCCCCAGTAGCCGCGCCTGTCCAGCGAGGGAGCCATGATGGAAGAGGAGGAGGAGGCTGCTGCTAACGGCGCTCCAGTCCATCACCGCGCGAGCGCCCCGCCGCCGCCACTCCTCCTCCTCACGCGCGACGGAGAGGAGGCACGAGCTGCTGCCGTGGCGGTGGACTACCACAATAAAAGCACCAAAAAAACACGCGCTGTAAAATTAAATGAACTTCACTCAAGGCAACGGGTCACACGCAGCACTAACACAACGTTATTATCATCTATAGTTAAATGACTGTTTTTGGTGTCGAGCAAATAAAATTCTTGGCTCAATGTCAGTGTAAAGTTATTAATTTCATCTGCACAGATTCTAGTGGAGAACAAATAATAATCATAATCATAATAATCATAATAAACTTTATTTGTGTAGCACTTTTTAAGAATAGAATTCGCAAAGTGTTTTTACATAATAAAGAAAACAACAACACATATAACAGGACAGGCTCAGAATGTAAAAATACTCACAGGAAGGATGGAGAGAACAGCCTGGGTCACTGCTGGAAGGAGTTTTATAGTAAAACTGGTTAAAAAGACGACATCACAGAGGAATGAAGATAAAAGCTGGAGATAGAAGTAGATTAAGAAAGAGAGACGAGAGCAGGACAGCAGGCAGCTCGATATAAAGGAAAAGAAACGGGAGACGATCTAAAAGAAAGTGGGTTTAAGAGGTGATTAAAAGAAGATTCTGAATCTGCAGCCTTGTTTCCTCACCCTAACCCTAACAGCTCAGCCTTATTGAACCCTAAAGCAACAAAGGTGACCGAACCAGAGATCAGCAGATCTAACCTGAACCCGAACCAGAGAGGAGCTCTTCTGCTCTTTCTACAGGTGTGTTGTGTCTGATGACTGTTTGCTGCATTTGTTCACATAATTATTGATTTTAATTAAAACCTGTCTGAGAACTGGGATGGGTTCACTCAATATTCTCTGTATTCCATTTTGTTTTTTGTTTTTAACTAAAATGAGTGAATTTTCTTCCAGACAGTTTATAAAAAGGGCCACAAAACCAAGAACAGAATGATGCTGAATATAACTGGGACAATAGATTATTTAAAAATCTACATGGCCACAGCAAGCATGAGTACAATCTACGTATAGCCTCGATTTAAAAAATAGAAATTCAACAAGCAGGTCGCTATCAAACTCTAGCATGTTGGCATAAGTGCAGCTCTGAAGCACGACAAGAAAACTATAAAGGTGCCTTTTATATTTCCATGCTGTATTTAATTCTATGTCGTGCCATTATTTCGTCTGTAAATTATTTGTTTAGTTAAATATCAAAGCCTTTTATGTTGTTTTCATTGTTTAAGGTTTTCAGAAATGCAGAGGGTGCTTTTAATTGATAACCAGTTCATGTGGGATTAAGTAATCTTAGATCAAGGAACCTGAAGACGATATAAACTCCACCACGGCTGTTCTATGACAGTAGACCAGACATGAATATATCTGTGCCAGCTGTGGGACCTGTGATGAGCAGTGTGGACCTTGTTCAAGCCTGTTGAAGTGCAGCTCATGTGAAACCCTGTGGCTGTTCAGGATGCCACATTACATACAATTCACTTTCCACTGCACAATTAAAGCTCTTTAAATTCATTTGAAGCCATTTAATTGTCCAAAGTACTTAAAGCATGAGCATTTTTACTGACCATGTAATGTGTTGCCAAAATTGCACCATAACCTCATAAGCTGTGTGTTATTAGCTTGCTATCTTTTATCAGTTAACTCAGGGTTTTACACCTCTTAAGAGTATACTGAAGCAAGATAAAGACTTATGTTTATAACTTTATTACTTATTTGCCCATTTCAGATTTGTTCATAAAGGTACCAGTTTACATTGTCCAGTCCAAATTTCAAAAAAACATTCTTATATTTTAGTCCCACACAGCCAAAGGAAAATACATATATGATGATTACATAGTTTTTCTACCGCTGAATACAAGGCAGCATTTACACCACTTAGTCTTGTTTGCAGTGCAGGGAACTTAATCCCCCATTAAAGACACTAAAGTCACTCATATCAATCATAGGGTGACATCCTGCTTACATGAAGCCCACCAAGGCGCTCACAACTGCAAGACAGACCACAAGATCCTCCCAAGATGCATCACATCTCCAGGCTTCTCAAAGACCCTGCTTAAGGCCACAGCATATATTTCATAGAGAGAATCTGCAGTACAAATATCTCATTGGCTCCAAGAACCTTTGATGTTTCCAAATACTTATAAACCACAAAGAAACAGGAAATATACACGTTTAGGACAAAAGCCCAGCCAAGAGATATGAAGGTATTTATCTATTAGTAATGCAAATAGGTTTTCTGAAAGAACTCTCATCAGTCAGAACAATCAAGTAGAAATAGGACAACATTTTGAAGGAGCCAGATATGGACTGACTCCTGACAATACCACAAACTGGCAAAAACACAGAAAACAAAGCCCAATGTCATTGTTTTCATTGAAAACAACCATTGCCGTGTCATAAACCCAGATGCCCTCGAGGTGGCGTGATACACAAATCCCAGAATATAAAATAAGCGAAGATAAGATAAGATAAGCCTTTATTTATTTCACAGTGGAGAAATTCACATTGTTGTCAGCAGCATTACTCACAGAGAGGCAAACATACTAGACAGAGAAATGTACATATAAGAAATAGTGCAAACACAAGTATAAAGTACACATAAAAAGAGAAGAGTGCAAACACTGAATATGAGAATGAGCTTCTGAATGGGGATACATTATATATATATAAATATATATAATAACAACAATAATAATAAGCAGTGGAAAATATACTGAAACAAAGGTAATATCTAAAATATTGATGCTCAAATGTGAGCTGATATGTACTGCTCTTCTTTAATCTTCTTCTTAGCCAGTTCAAGCAGGTCCAGCCTTTTTGTCCATCACTTCATCCATTTGTCCTTATTGTCTGTTATGTGAAGCTGTCACTGTACACGTCGTGCAAACATTCATGTGGGAGGTTGCTGATGTGGCTTTTAGCAGCTGGAACTGACTGAACAGCTGCAGCATACACCTGAATGTATCCAAATATTTAGCTGCGGACTAAATATTTAACATTTATGGATAAAGAAACTACACTGTTTTGTATACTGCTGCAGCTCTGTCCGATGCAGCTGCCCATGAGGCCATACAGCCGCCTTCAGTGGAATTTTTCAAGGCCTGACTTCAACAGTCCTGCCAAAGTGCTGCTGCAACCGGGTTATTTAAGAGTCTTCTGTACAAAAAGGAAAGGACTACAATCACAAGGTTGTTTTATCACTTTTATTGCAAAAACAGGACATTTGTAACAGTCCATTCATATTTTCTAATGTCAAACATGTGTGCCTACATTGTTATACACGTTATTACATTAGCCCTGATTGTATTTCTTAGCCAGTGTGGACCAGTGCATTTAGGGCAAATGAAAACAGCATTGTAGCCTGTGGCAGTGCAAAGGATGGCCACAAAAACATAAAGATTCTGGGGTGTATTTTGTAAGATAAAATCCCTCCTGAAATAAGAATATTGTCCACCTTTTACAAAGATTGTTAAGACTTCATGACAAAAGAACCCATTTTCCATGTGCAGAAATACTAATGACAATGCTACACTAATGAAATAAACATTGCATTAATATTCAAGGCATCAGTTGAAAATAACACTTAATGTAAGTCTTCATTCTGCAATGTCATCTGTCACCATAACACAGTGATATCTAATATCCTTTCAAAGTTAAAACTGTGCACTATACTTTGCTCCTTAAAACACGCCGTGAAATGTTTCAATACATCTTCTAAGTCGGGTGCTGTGGAATGTTGTGGACATGTGAATAAAGGAATGGCACTTCTGCTGCATCAATCTACATTTCATTTCCAATTTTTCTCAGCATATTGCATTAGAAAATCTACGCTCACACACACGGTCAGACATTTAATTTAGACGTTGGGGTCAGCGTGTGGTTACAATTCATCTCTCATCTTTTCACCCTTTGGCCTGACCATCCTGCCAATGAACAGGATGGAATTTGTCTTCTGGTCCTTCACCAGGAAGATGAAAGGATGGTCAGCGTAGAACAGTCTGGGGTTCTTCAGCTTATCTGTGGCAAAGATGCTGGTATTCATTTCATTTCCTTCAGTGCTCCATTCCATGGCAGAGGCATGGAACACACTGGACAGGTAAAGGTCTTTCTTCCCAGAGATGTTGGACAGGTCAGCTTTGGCTTTGTCCACAGCCTCGGTCAGGCCCAGCTCCTGGAGGTGTTTCTACAGAGGAGCAGAAAGACATGTTCTCACACTGAAAACATGGTGTGGAGACAGACTACCTCTAGTCACTTTTAAACTATTGAAGGTTCTACCTGCAGGTTGTGACTGACTTCCATGCTGACTTTGGGCAGAGACACAGCCACAGCAGTCTCCTGCAGTTTGCCCATCCATGTATCCAGCTGCTTCTTGGTCAACATCTTCTCCAGTCTCTCCAGAGTTTCCACATGATGAGGCATGATGAACACCACAGTGGACTTCTTATGAGCCAGGGGCATGCTCAGAATGGACAGCTTATTGGATTTGTCATCAAGGTAGCCATAAAGGCCTGAAGAAGCAGGTAAAATACATGACAAATGTTAGCTTCCTCGTCTGACCAATAACTTTATGAAACCTCTAAAACTGTACATGCAGTTTCTTGGTTTCCAAATCATCAAAGACAGTGGAACCAGTGATCGATCTAGTCCACATATTTAGTGTTACATTTACAGGAAAACAGCACTGAGTATGAATGAGTGAATGCACAGCCGTGCGGTTGCCAAACTGTAGTTTTTGCACCAGCCCACCACAACACAGCGTCCACCCACCTGTCCGGTGCATCATTTCCACTGAAACAGTGTAGCCACGGGAAACCATGAATCCACGGCTGTCCACCATCTTATGATGGAACTGCTCATCCCAGTGAGCTGTGAAAATGGACTCAGTTAATTTTTTTGAATGCATTTAAGGGAGTAATATAGTTATTACACAGATTTGTATACTCACGTTTGAAAAACATGGCATTGACGATCATTGCCCCGTCAGTCTTTTCTACATCCTTGGTGACCTCAGGCAGTTTGCCGTCAGTGGACTTGGCCGCCCACTCGTTAATCGAGTTTACAGCACTCTTTTTATCTCTGAAATTTATCTTGGAGTGGTCACACTTATAGTGCTTTTTGCTGCTCTTTACAAAATCATCCACAAAAGTGACAGTGCTGGGTCCATACAGGCGGTTGCTAATCTTCCAGGTGACGTTGCGGGTCTTTGGGTCGCTCACTTCGGTCAGGAGCTCAGCTAGACCAGAGTGCAGCTGCTCATCTTTGACTTTAGCTGCATTCAGAATGGTTTTGACCTGAGAGGCAGTGGAGGCCTTTCCCCCAAGAGCCACCAGACCCAGAGACGAGGCCACTACTACAGGGGAAATGAGGATGTTCTCGACGTCTTTCTCCTTTGCCATGTTTTGGTAGAGACTGAATGCCAAGTTGGCACTGTTGTCAGCCAGGATGGTGGCGTGGTTACTCAGGACTTTGTCTGCTGATGCAGAGGTGGCAGCTGAGGCCACTGTGGCCAGAAGAACCAGCAACACCAAGTTTCTTACCCACATGGTGTAATGCGAATGAGAGAAAACCTATGAAAGACAAACATCCCACATTGTCATAAATGTACTGAAAAGACACAAGATTTTTGTTTTAGCCGATGTTGGTCTGTTCAACTTTAAAAGATCTTAAAATATGTTAATGTACCCTAACCCAGGAAGCACATATTCTGATATATTTAAGATTTACTCTGAAGGTTTAGGAGGTTAAAGCAGGACTGGTGGTTAGCCAGAAGATCTGTCCAAGTAAACCTCAAGGCAAGACTTACATAACAGCCACGTAGGCAGCTGCAGGATGCATCTGAGCCAAAACACTGGAAAGCTGATCTTAGTTGTTCTTGACTTTACCACGCAAAAGATTTAGGGTTTCAAAAAACCTCTTATAGAAGAATGAGTCTGCTTGATGTCGATTGGTTACTTGTGGTGTGGGAGAAGTGGCCACGTGTTGGCACACATTCAGCCAATGTCGGGATTTTATTCCAGTCCACGTAAATAGAGTGTGCTGTAAGGAGAGCAGTCTTTGTGAAGAGTCACCGATACAGTTAAGATCTCTGGTAGGATTTCTTTAAAACAACTCTTTGCTATCTGCTAAATAAACTCAACAAACATCAGCCTCTTCATAAAATGCATTAAAGGAACCAACTGCACACCCAACACTGGAGGACTGAACATGTTAAGAATCTCTCTCCAGCAGCTTCCCAGACATGTTTTTACAAGCTCGATAATCCACAAAGCCAACAGAGAAAGATCAAGTGATAACTGACTTCAGTATGCACAAAAGAGGTCACTTTTAAAAAGCCTATATTTTCTGTCTACATTGTTCTTAACACAGCGTCTTTAAACCAGCAACCTTTCTGTCGTTTCTTCAGAACAGAATGAATAAGAATGAATGCATTTATTAAATGCTGATTAAAACGGTTTCTGAAACATAGCACCACATTTCACACTGAGCAACTCTGTTTCTTTAAATGTCAAATGACCCAATGATCATCTCATTCCAGCACATGATATCCTCAGACCATCTAATAATACCCGCTGTAAGGCGGTCACTTACAAACAGTCCGCTGCAGTGGACATGAAACTTGGAATGAATGAAAAAAACAAACTCCTGTGCAGCTGTGGAGGTCATCAATGATGTTAATGTAATATGTGTTACCATGTCTTGTGGAAACAGCTGTGCAACATCTAGACAAAGGAAGGAGAACATTTCTTTGTCACAGATGAAACCAGGTCAAAAGTCACAGCCCACTCCCTAAATGTCTGGACTCTCACGTTCCACTAGTTTAGTGCAGGATACTTCAGACAGACAGCCAACCAGACGGATAGATAGATAGACAGATAGATAGATAGATAGATAGATAGATAGA